GGTCTGCCTGCTCCCCCTCCGGCCTTTGGGGCGCCCCTCCCGCCAGGAGAGCTTCCCCCCCCCCCCGCCAGGAGAAAGGTAGCTGCGGATCCGCCTCTCCGGCTTGCCGGGTTTTCCTTGGGGAGATTCGGCTCTGGCGTCGCCTGCAGGGAGTGGATCCCTCCCTTCCCTCCAGGGGGGCAAAGGGGGTCCCTCCCTCCCTCCCCGGGCTGGATCTGCCCCCTCCTCGCCCGGCCCAGGATCCCCGTGGGGCTCCGGGTGGATCCGAGAAGCTTTTAGGGAAATTACTGCAGAAGGTCTCTCTGTGGTCCGTAAGAGCAGGAGCTCTCTGCATATCCCTCAATTGCGGTTGAAAAAATGGAGTAAACGGAGCTTTAATACACATAGAGAGCTTCGCAATGGGATCTTAACACAGACTGACCTCATTGCAACGGGGAGGGGAGGGTTTGGGGGGAAAGAAAAGAAGTTTAAATGAGTTGTATTGAGCTCATGTTGCCTTACGCCTCTTTCTTTGTGCTCAGTCTAAAAGGCGAAAAACCAAATCCTTGATTTTTGTGCTATTCTTTATTTTGCTTCTGTTTTTAAAACGTGGGTAGAATGTCTAAACTTTATGTTTTCCTAGTTGTTGGCAGAAATTCGAGCTCGCTGAGTAACACCAAACAGTGTTACTGTTGAAATGAAACAGAGATTTATTGGATACAACGGTTTGCAAAGCGTGCTGGACTCCAAATAAATATTTGAGCCACACCTTGTTACAGTAAAAACACACATTTTATACACTCTATCACGACGCCTTGGCCCTCCCCTGTGGCTTCATTGGCTGAGCTTTAGAGGTTACAATCTTATCAGGATCGCCTAAACCAGGGGTAGGCGACCTTGGCTCTTTTATGACTCGTGGACTTCAACTCCTTATGCTGGCTCAGGAATTCTGGGAGTTGAAGTCCACGAGTCATAAAAGAGCCAAGGTTGCCTGCCCCTGGCCTAAACAAAATACATTATCCCTGCCCCTTACTATTTTGCTTCACCTATTCCCTTATATGTACTTTACCACGAACCAGGGAATCCTACAGCTTAGTGTGGAAATCCTATAGCTTACGTGTAGAAATCTTATAGCCTACGGGTAGAAATCTTACAGCCTACGTGTCACTTAACTTCACTTATATTCTAACATTTTATTCCTCACATTTTATTCCTCACATTTTATTCCTCACATAGTTCAACACTATGACAGTGGTGGCGAACCTATGGCACGGGTGCCAGAGGCGGCACTCAGAGCCCTCTCTGTGGGCACGCGCGCCGTCGCCTCAGTCCTAGGCCTTCAGCTGGGTTTTATAAAACCTTTTTGCTTTAGGCCTCCGTTGCCGTGTGCAAAAAAACCAAAAAAAAGGTTCAATCAGTCAATTTCAACTTCTCGCGGGAAAAAAAAGATCTTGCAAAGTTGGAATTGATTGATTGAACTTTTTAGTCCCACCCAGTCTGCCATTACCACCCCACCCAATGGGCCACGCCCAGCCAATGGGCTGCACCCACCCGGCACCCGACGATGCATAAGTGGGTTTTGGGTTGCAGTTTGGGCACTCGGTCTCTAAAAGGTTCGCCATCACTGCGCTATAATGTGGCATCCCCTTCTTGGTGGATGTTTTACAAAGGAGATTTTAAGGCTGGTCTTGTGATCAGGTTAAGAAACAAACAAGCCAATGGCCAAAAGGCTGCCTTTCCTAATTGTACATATATTTTTGAAATACCTGTCTGGAAGAAAGACCAGCCCTTTCCCCACATGCTCTGCCCCATCTGATCTCTCTCATCTGTCTTTGAGTTTTGGGGCTTTTCTTTGAGCAGATAATAAAAGAAGCTGATGGCTAAAAAGCTGCCTTTCACAATTGTAAATGTTTTTCAAAATGCCTACCTGGAATTTTTATGGCCTTCAAGCCTCGCAAAAGAGCCTGGAAACTGTTCTGCCCCTTCTGATCTCTCTCCCTCATCTTCCTTTGAGTTTTCCTACTCACAACTCTGCATCCGTCCCTGTTGGACTTCACCGTCCTGTTTCTTCCATTTTGCCCCATCGAGATCTTGAATCAGGATTCAATCCCCATCATTTTTCATTTTGTATCAATAACAAATAATCCTATTTTCTCTTCCCAACTCCAGGTCATTTATAGTTTATGTTCAGCATTACTGTCGGCATCTGAGCCTTTCTCGTTTCTCTTTGCAGGAGACCAGTGAGGATGTGGCCGTGAGCTCTGCAGAGGAGAAGGAGCGTTCTTGGATCGAGACCCACAAATCTTTGGCCGGGACTCCATTCTAGAGAATGTGGAAATCGTGGCCCAGTTGGAGAAGCAGCTTCCTGCACAAAGGGCCAATCGATTAAGGAGAAATCAAACTGATCAGCAGTGAGGGTCATCCCTGGCCTTGAGTCAGAGGGGGTAACAGGTGACCTAGAGACCTCTTAGCTGCAACTATAACAGTGAGTAAACAAATGTCGGTTAACTCTTGGTTTGGAGAGTAATCATATATTTTTAATTGTTTATTTGAGAAAACAGCAATGTAGAAAAATTGGGTTTTGCTCCCAAGATGCTGGATGAAGGCATAAGGTAATTCTGTTAAGGACCACATGTTGAATGGTCTTGGTCAGCGAGTTCTGAATCCATCTAGTGGTGCTGTCCATCCAACATTTTTTTATCTTATGAAGAAGTGGTTTGTGGTCTACTTTGTCACACGTCTTATTGAAGTCAAGGTATAATATGCATACAGTGTTACGCTGTTCACTATTTTAGTCACTTTGTCAAAAAATACAATAAGTTTTGTCTGGTGCGTCTGCTTTTGACAAACCCATGTTGGCTTCTGGTAAGAGCCTTGCTGGTTTCTAAATGCTCACAGATTCCTTGCTTGATTATTTTTTCCAGGATCTTCCCATGTATTGATTAATTTTCCGCATCCATTTCCCCCCATTTTGTTGTATTTTATAAAAGTTATTAAATGGATCGCAAAGAAGTGAGGATCAAGACATCATGATGTAAAAATCAGAAAAAGAAAGAAAACAGAATAAAAAAATGGGTTGCATACCCCAGATTTTCCCAACCTCCAGTCTGTGGGCTGGCAGAGGCCACAGAATGCCAGAAACTGGGCCGCACAAACAAACAAAGCCCTGTCTGCAGGATGCAGGAAGCACGCAAAATTATACCCCTCTGGGCCACAGAATAACCTCTCTCCACGGCACCAGTCCATGGTGCCTCTTCTTTTCCTTATGCAATGCCTTAATTTTGGGGGATTTCCTCTAGGTCAGACATGTCAAACACAAGGCCTGGGGGCCGGATGCGACCCGCGAAGTGGTTTCATGTGGCCCGCAAAGCCATCCTGGATACAGTGAGGGAACGGCCACCTCTGCCTTGGCCCTGGCCCAGGCCACCTGGGAGCCAATGTACAATTTTGTGGTGGCCATCTATGCTGAAACGCATTCAGTCTTAGCTCCATAAGCCCCCCCCCCTCCCCGCATGGCCTGAGATGAACAGTGAGGCTCCTCCAATGGATCGTGCCTTGGCACTTGTCCCGGTCCCACCCCCTTCTACCAGAGACCCTCAGATGTGTCCCACTCCTGCCCAGGCCCCCACTGGCACCCTTGATTGGAATGATGTAGAGCTGGCCATGCCCACCCAGTAGGCCATACCCACTCCATCCACGCCCACCTAGAAGGCCACACACACCCCTGCCCCCCCCCAGGACAACCGCAATGCTGATGCGGCCCTCAATGAAATTGAGTTTCACATCCCTACTCTAGGTACTTCTCTTATTATGACCACAATTCAGTCCGGAATCTCAGCCTCTGAGAGAAGCTTTCATTAAGTGAGATATCCTATGACCGCTTTGCTCAACGACTGCAATCCTGCATTCATTTTTGCAGTTGTTAAGCTACTTCACAAGTAGACGAAGTTCCAGATAAGGGTTGTCTGAAGTGGGCAGGAGAGGCCCTGTGAGTCCTGGCACAGGCCACGTGCGACTTGAGGGGGTCCTGGAGAAGCTCAGAGATGCTTTGAGACACGTTGCTTAGCAACAGGATGGAACATGGGGCTTGGAGAATGGCCCAAAGTTGCCGAGGCCTCCAGTCTGGGGATTAAGCCCCCATTTCTCAGTGACAGGGTAGTGCTGGGCTGAAGTCCAGGCCTGGAGTCAGTGGGAGCTGGCTGAACCTGTTGAAGGCCAAAAGGATTCTATTTAAGGCCCAGCTCCAGCATTGTTGTCAATCAGGCCTGCTTTGCATGCCTGAGCCTGGGTGGTCAGGCTTCCAGGAATGGCTGCACCTTTCAATCCCACTTCAATAGCCCCCCAATTCATGGGTGGCCTGTGCCTCATCTCCAGACCATCCCCAGCCCTGAGAAACCCCAACAGCCATTGGCTGGGGCTCCCCCCTCCACTTAACAATGCCCAAGATCACTTAATGACCCCAACCAGGACTGTGGGATTACGTTTGGGGAGTGAAGTGGCCACGTGGCCTCTAACTTGACTACCGCTTCACTGAACAACCGAGATTGCAGCCCCAATTGTATTCATAAATTGAGGATTACCTCTAGCTTCAGAGCTACTGTTTCATTTTGTCGTAGGACAAGAACCAAGGAGGAGGGAAGGGTAGAGACAATGAACAGCAGGAAGAGGTTGCATCTGAGAAATGTGGGGGGACAAAATCAGTGGAGATTTTCTCTGGGGTGTACTGCAGAGGGTCAGACTGGAAGACCTTCATGGTCCCTTTCACGATGAATAGCCTCTGCTTCTCTACCTTTCTCAAAAGGAAATATTATTTTCATTTCTATTTTTTTCAACAGAAATAAAATATTGTTTCCAAAGATTTATCTGCAAGCTAACAATCAACAGAAATACAGGATGGAGACTGGGAAACTCTCGGATCCCCCGTCAGACACAAGCAGCACTCCGGAAAACCACAAAAGAAACCATGAATGCTCAGAGTGTGGGAAGTCCTTTCCTCGCAGGTCCCTCCTTTTGACCCACAGGAAGGTCCATGTGGGAAGCGGATCCAGTCAGGATTTGGAGGGTGAGAAATCCTTTTCTGGAAAAGATCCCAAAGATCCCAAAAGCCCCGCCAGACTAAAACCCCATAAATGTGAGGAATGTGATTTATGCTTTGGTCAAAAGTCAGACCTTCTTAGACATCAGAAAATCCACACTGGAGAGAAACCTTATCAGTGTGTGGAATGTGGTAAATTTTTCCGTGACAAAGCCACCCTCAGAATCCACGAGAGAATTCACACAGGGGAGAAACCTTACAAGTGTTGGGAATGTGGGAAGAGCTTTTCTCAGAATTCATATCTTTGGCGCCATGAGAAGATTCATGCAGGAATAAAACCTTACAAATGCTTTGAGTGTGGGAAATCTTTCACCCAGAGTTCAGGTCTTCGGACTCATGAGAAAACACACAGAGGGGAGAAAAACGAAAAGTGCTTCGAATGCGGAAAATGTTTTTCCACGAAATCAAATCTGGTCCGACATCAGCGAGTTCACACCGGAGAGAAACCCTTTGAATGCCCAGAATGTGAGAGACGATTTATGTTTCATTCTCCGTTTCAGAGGCACCAGAAGGAGCACAAAGGGGAGAAACCCTATAATTGTGGGGAATGTGGGAAAGATTTTCTTACACAAAGAGAGCTTCAGATTCATCAGAGAATCCACACGGGGGAGAAGCCATACAGATGTGTGGAGTGCGGTAGATGCTTTTCCCAAAAACAAAACCTTGGAAGCCATCAGAGGCTCCACACAGGAGAGAAGCCATACAGATGCGTAGAATGTGGGAAAAGTTTTGGACACCAGGGGAACCTTTGGAGCCATCATAACACCCACAGAGGGGAGAAGCCATATCAGTGCAACGAATGTGGAAGATTTTATAGCACCGCATCAGCCCTTAAAATCCATGTGAAAATTCACACAGGGGAGAAAAGCTACAAATGTTTAGACTGTGGGAGAGCATTTGCTCGGTCATGTACCCTCAGAAGCCACAGCCGAATCCACACAGGAGAGAAGCCCCATAAATGCTCGGAGTGCGATAAATGCTTTTCCCGGAAATTCACTCTCTTGAAGCATCAGCGAATCCACACGGGAGAAAAAAACATATAAATGTCTGGAATGCGGAAAATGTTTTGCCCAACCTTCAGCGCTTCGCACGCACACCAGAACTCACACAGGAGAGAGGCCTCACAAGTGTGCAGAGTGTTAGAAAAACTTTTCATTGTAAATCAAAGCTAAAAATGCATCAGAATGTCCATAGCAGAGATCTCTACCCTTTCAGTTGTGAACGATGAGGCAACTTTTTTTTTTTCAGAAGTCACACCTTACTGTTCACCAGGACCTTCACACAGTCCCAGAAGGGAAATCCTACAAATGTTTGGTGTGGGGAAAGTGTTTTTTTTCTAGTGAAGCAACCTCAAATACTAGGAGAGAGTACACAATGAGGCAAAAGGGCGTAAGTGTTGTGAGTGTGAGGATGTTTTCCTCCCAAAGCCGCATTAGTAACTTGCCAGAGTGACTACACAAAAGAGTTATAAATGTGTGGGGAGTATGTATAATGTTTTGCAGAGTACAGGCAGTCCTAAAGTTATGGCCACAACTGGGAATGGATTTCCAGTCATAAGTTGCTTACAGTCCTAAATCAAGGCACCCAGGCATTTTTGTTAGTTCTTACTAGCCATTTGTGGATCAGTGAGGAGAGCTGAAGATTCAGAGAGGAGAAAAGGGGGGTGGGTGCAATTAGGATGCATCCGGTTGCTTATTTAGTGATAAAGTGTTGATGTTGAATATATGCTGATTGAGGATAAAGATCGAAAGTTTCTTTTTCCTATTATCTTTTTTGGAGGGTTTTCTTTTTATCACAGAGTTCAGCTCTTAGGAGACATGAGAAAACACACAGAGGGGAGAAAAATGAAAAGTGCCTCAAATGTGGAAAACATTTTTCCAGGAAATCAACCCTGGTCCGACATCAGCGACTTCACACTGGAGAGAAACCCTATGAATGCCCAGAATGTGAGAGACCATTTGTGGATTCTTATCAACTTAAGAGACACCAGAAATGGCACAGTGTATATATAATGTTTGCATGTAAGACGCTAAGAAAAAGACGCAGGCATGTCTTGAGCAGAGGTTTGAAGCTGCAGGACACAGCTTGACAAACTCTTGAGTTTATTGCTGCTTATATACTTTTTACATACATAGGCTTTACCATTAAATGCTGACATTTTACATTCACAAGTTTAACCATTAGATGCTGACATCAAGTTTCTTATTAGAAAATTCCTAGTAACACATTACATGATCAAAGACCAGGTAAGAACAAATACAGGTAGATGAAAGGAGAAAGAACTAACAAAGACAGGAAAAGATTTAAGCATATTATCTGTTTAGGTAGGTGAGGCATTAAGTCAAAAGGGTATGACCTTCTGGCTGCTTCATTGGGACAAAGGGTATCAAGAGGTTATGAGGTTTGTGGGGGGAAAGCACGGCAGTTTGCTGCGCGTGCATTTTCCCCCACATTTGCAGAGTACAGGAAGTCTTTGACGCATCAGCACAACTGGAAATGGATTTTTGGCCATAAGTTGTTAGTCATAAGTCAAGGCCCCCAGATATTTTTGTTATTTTTTTACTAGGCCTTTGTTGATCAGTGAGGAGAACTGAAGATCTGGAGAGGAGAAAACAGGGAGAGGGGTGGAACGAAGATGCATCCAGTTGTTTATTTAGTGATAAAATGTTGATGTTGAATATATGCTGGCTGATGATGAAGATCAAACGTTTCTTTTTCTTACTATCTTTTTTGGAGGGATTTCCCCTCTTTTTCACATTGTCTTCATATGTTCACACACATACACACACATACATAGACATACTGAACCTGTGTTGAGTTTCTTTGTTTGATGTGTGAATATAGTCCCTAAAGTATTGTTCAAAATAATCAAGAGGACTGTTTTCAGAGCATGGACTGAGTCTAGATGGTGGTCAAATTGTGCCATGCTGTCCTGCTGCTTTTTGATTAGGAACAAAGAGCCGCCATCTTGGATCTTTTGACTCCATCCTCCCTCGCTGGACACTTCTGACACCCAGGGTTGGATTCAAAGGTGTAGATTTTGGATGAACTTTAGGAAAAATGTCTTGGGGATTTGGATGGACCCCTGCTGTTAAGGGCGGGCCATTGGTGGCTCCCAATGCACCACACCTTACTTAGGACATACAGTGCATTCAGAAAATATTCAGACCCCCCTTCCCTTTTGTCAATTTACTTATGCAGCAGCCTGATTCTACAATTGTTGAAATTCTTTTTTTTAATTTTTTTTATTAATTTTCTAATATTACATTTGCATATTTGAAAACCAACGTGGCAGCTGAGTACAATAATTCCATTACATTTAAATATCAATACAAATCTCAAAATATTACGACAACTAATTCCCTCTTTCCCCTTAATATATACTGTCTCATATTCAAGCCAACACAATTCTTATTCTATCAAACAGAAAATAACTTTCTAGCATTCATCAATAATCTTCAGTTTATACATATCTTAATTAATTTAACATTTCATCTTTTAGACAGTCAATGACCTAATAAATTTTTCTTAATTTTAATTTTCCATGAATATGTTAAATTTAATGTTTAATCCTTTTCATTTCCAAATTTTAAATGAAATTCTTTTTTTTTCTCATTAATCTACACTCAGTACCCCATAATAACAAAGTGAAAACCGAATTTTAGAAATGTCTGTGATTTTTTTAAAAGAAAAAACTGAAATATCACATTGGTACAAAGTATTCAGAGCCTTCGCTCGGTACTTTGCGGAAACACCTTTGGCATCAATTACAGCCTCTTGAGTCTTTTGGGGTGTGACGCCACAAGCTTTGCATACCTGGATTGCGGGATGGGATGACTTGGATGACTTGACGCTGCTAACTCATCGAGTTAGAGTCATCCTGGATCCCCTGGATTGGGGGATTTTCTGCCACTCTTCCTTGCAAAAGCTCTCAATCTTAGCTTGGATGGCTGCAGCGTAACAAAACTGATGAAAGCGATGGGGGTCTTAATCCCTTCTGAATATGCCAGGGTCCAGGTATGCATCTTTGAGGAGTGTGAATCTTTATGAAAATCATCCAGAGAGGAGAAATATAAGAATTCAAATACACGTTCAAGACCAGAACTTGTTCCAGGTCAGAGTGGCTGGCAGTGTCTTTACTCACTTGCAACAAGCAGCTGAAGAAGAGACAAACCATTACAACACTGATAATTAACCCAGATTCAGGCCATTATGGTTTGCCATCTAATGAGACCCAGAAAGTGTGATTTTTCCGTTGCAGTACTTGCCCTGTGGAAGACCCTTTCTTGGGGGACCCTGCAGGACGCCCACCCTTCTAGCCTTCTGGAAAGTGTAGAGGGCTGTTGTTCCCCACCCAGGTCCTCGGACAGAGTAAAGGTGGGACTGGAGGATTTGGAGATTGGGTTGTTTGAGTGTGTGAGTCTGTGTGTGTCAGGCACCCATTCTGTTGGTTTTGGTTCTATTATTGTCGTGCGTCCCCGCCTCACGCCTCGACTTACGACCATAATGGAGAATACCCATTATGGATCCGGGTCAAAAAGTACCTTTTGTGTCGGGGGTGTGTGTGTGTCTGTCATAACATCAAACGAACACGGCTGTGTGATAGAGGACAGGAAGGCCTGGAGGGATGTTGTCCATGGGGCCGCGATGGGACACGACTTCGCAATTAACAACAACAACAATACAAACTCAGTAGCTCTCCCTTGAGCTGTGAAGAGGGCAGAGACCCCGACAGGAAAGACCAGGAATAATGAAACCCCCTTTGTGGGCAGAAGGAGCTGAATGCTCACAAATGCACATGGGGGAGTGGAGGAATTTAGCAGCGTGAAACCTGCCAGAACTGGCTCTTTTTTTCTAGTATCCGTTGACCTTTGGTGTAGCCCAGGACTGGACCTTCTTCCCAAAGAGCCTTAAATCCATAAAGGGAAAGAGCCCCCATGAGACCTGACAAGCATCAGGGAACCAAGCGCCTCTGGAGAACCAGGGGTCCGGATCAAGGTGCTCACAGGGGGCCCTGCCCCGTGCTTGGAGGGGGAGGGAAGATGCCAGAAGACCCCTGAAGTAGCCAATAGGAGTCGGGCAGATCCCAGCTTCTGAGCACATCAGCAACTATGTCATAAAGCAGAGCTTTTCAACCTTTTCACCCATTGTACCACTTTTAGGATATGGCAATATCCGAGTACCACCAGTCGCCTACCAAGGTGTCAAAAACTTGATGACCGTCATAAATATGAATCAGTTGCCAAGCATCTGAATGTAAATCACAAGACCCTGGAGATGCTGCAACATTCCAGGTGATCAGCGCTTCTTCTGGGCTCAGCAGAAGTGCCAGGATCAGTGCTGCTTTCCAGCTGATTGGTGCTTCTTCAGGGCTCAGCAGAAGCACCAGGATCAGCGCCAAGCTACAGCTGGAGCCTGGCGCTGATCCTGGCACTTCCATTGAGCCATGACAGTCCTGAAGAAGCAACGATCAGCTGGAAAGCGGCACTGATCCTGGTGCTTCCGCTGAGCCCTGACAGCCCTGCAGCTCCAGCCGTCTCTCGCTCAGGCTTGTGCGGTGCTTCCACGGGTTCAGCTCATTCCCTTCCCCTGCTACCACTTTTCTAGGATGGTCGCGTACCACCTGCAAGGTGCCAATGTACCACAGGTGGTACCTGTACCACTGGTTGAAAAGCCCTGTCATAAAGGATGTTTCTGTGGGATCAAGAGGGAAAGGACCACTTCCAAAGCAAAACAGCTAGGAAAACCTAGATGCCATTTCATGGAGACAGAGGAGAAGAGAATTAACCAAAGTTAATTAAGGGCAAAGGAGGAATTAAGGTAGGTCTCTGTTAGTGTGGTTAATAAATCCCACAAAAACATCACATTACATTTAGACTATTTGAAGTGGCATCTCTATGGAAAATAGAGTAATTGGTTCCAGACTTATAGAAATAGGGAAGAAAAACAATGTTATATGGCATACGAATAATAAATATCACAATAAATAACAACAAAAATATCCATAAAAGAATTTAAATGTACGGGTAAAACCACAACAGTA